AGTGTGTGTGTGTGTGACTGAGTGTGTGTGATTGTGTGTGTGTGAGTGTGTGTGTGATTGTGTGTGTGTGTGACTGTGTGTGTGTGTGAGTATGTGTGACTGTGTAACTGTGAGTGTGTGTGACTGTGTGAGTGTGTGTNTGTGTGATTGTGTGTGTGTGTGTGTGATTGTGTGTGTGATTGTGAGTGTGTGTGAGTGTGTGTGACTGTGTGAGTGTGTGTGACTGTGTGAGTGTGTGTGCGAGTGTGTGTGTGTGTGTGACTGAGTGTGTGTGATTGTGTGTGTGAGTGTGTGTGTGATTGTGTGTGTGTGTGACTGTGTGTGTGTGTGAGTATGTGTGACTGTGTAACTGTGAGTGTGTGTGACTGTGTGAGTGTGTGTGTGAGTGTGTGAGTGTGACTGTATGTGTGTGTGTGTGAGTATGTGTGACTGTGTAACTGTGTGTGACTGTGTGAGTGTGTGTGTGAGTGTGTGAGTGTGTGTGTGACTGTATGTGTGTGTGTGAGTATGTGTGACTGTGTAACTGTGTGTGACTGTGTGAGTGTGTGTGTGTGTGTGAGTGTGTGTGAGTGTGTGTGTGACTGTGTGTGTGTGACTGTGTGTGTGACTGTGTGAGTGTGAGTGTGTGTGAGTGTGTGTGTGACTGTGTAAGTGTGTGTGAGTGTGACTGTGTGTGTGAGTGTGTGTGAGTGTGTGAGTGTGTGTGTGAGTGTGTGAGTGTGAGTGTGTGTGAGTATGTGTGACTGTGTGACTGTGTGAGTGTGTGAGTGAGTGTGTGTGACTGTGTGTGTGTGAGTGTGTGTATGTGTGACTGTGTGAGTGTATGTGTGTGTGAGTGTGACTGTGTGAGTGTATGTGTGTGTGAGTGTGACTGTGTGTGACTGTGTGACTGTGTGAGTGTGTGTGACTGTGTGAGTGTGTGAGTGAGTGTGTGTGACTGTGTGTGTGTTATCTTTTCTCCCCTGTGTGCCCTTGGTTGTGAGCTGCAGCAGCTTTGAAGACCTACTGTGACCATACACCCCCCTTTCCTCCCGTCCCCATCATATGCAGAAAGACGTACCTCAGCGCCCCCCCAAATCCCAACACCGCATCGAGTATTAACTAAAACAATATGAAAAAATGCAAGCAAACCCCGCCCGGCATCAGCAAAATACTTGTTCTGTTCTGTTTATAAATATGCTGGTTTTTACCTAAGGCATGAGCCATAGCCTGGGAATGAAACTGGAAAGTGGCTCACTGCTTAGTCACGAGAAATCCCATTTTCTCTCACTACACAACACACACACACACACGCACACGCGCACACACACACACACACACACACAACGCTCATGCAAATGATTACGTTCATATTTGAATTCCAGGTGACTTTCAGATGATGTTACGACTCGCTCTCGCTCGGCGGATCTTTATTTGCGCCCCTCGTTGCAAGGGCCTCGGGCGTGATTTGAACACGACGCGCCTCAGGGACGCTGGTAGAGGCGGGTCCCCTGAAGGGGGGTGATCATAGGAAGACCCCGTATCACATAGGCCGGGTGCTGGAAGCTGCAGAGAGCGCAGACCACACATACACTATTTTGTTCATTTGTAGGCTTCGTTTAAGAGACTTTCAGAGGAAAAAGCAGACTTACAGACACAGACGACAGTGTGGCGATTAGCAGAGGCCGAGGGGGTGTAAGCGGATATGGACGGAGACTTGACTGGGGGCTGAGCCCACCGTACAGTGTCCAGACGACGTGTTACAGAATCACAGGCCTGAAACCTATATGGTTGCGTTAAGCAATGTCACCCAATACAGGCAGTTAAAAAAAATCACAACAAATAAAAATAAATCGGCTTCTCCAGTTTGTAATTCTCATCTGCCCCGAACTTTGAGAAGCAGGAGCGTCTCTCCGTGTGCTACTGGCATTTAAAAAATGTTAATAAGCGTATTGCCCGCAAAGAGCTGTCGTTGCCGAGAATAGTGGCTAATGGTATGCAAAACGCTGGCCACGACTTACCCTAATTAGTAACATGATTACGGTGGAAATAAAAGTTCTAATTTCCCAGCCACCATTAGCACCCCACCTGCCCTCCTCTGGGCCCCACCGTGCCCCACGCTGCGGTTTGGAGCCATACACATCAGCCTCTGGACGGAAACGCTCCTTTTCGGTGGCATTTTGAAATGGACAGTACAGTGTCCCCAGATAAATGTCTCTCATTGCCACTCCGGAGGGGCTTAGCTTTCCCTTGTGTCTTTCTTTTCTTTTCTTTTTTCTTTTCTTTTCTTTTCTTTTCTTTTCTTTTCTTTTCTTTTCTTTTCTTTTCTTTTCTTTTCTTTTCTTTTCCTTTTTTTTTTTTTTTGCAGCCATACAAAACACTTCCTTGAGCCCAAGAATAGATTATTTGGAGAGCTAATTAATTGATCCTTCAAAAATGCCAATTGACACACTCCCTGGGAAAACCCTGATCTAAGCAACTATGTTAATCAAGCCATTGTACTTGGGGTCCTGTCTGAATATCAGAGCATCTGAAATGAGAAGAACTTTGCCACCGCCCGCCCAGCCCCTCTCATGGGCAGCTAATTATTATGAGCCCGATATGACAGTTGTACTTGTACCGTTCGCGGTGCTGCCTGACAATAACTCTATAAAATTACGTTTCCAGCTGTAGAATGGAAACAGTGTTAAATACCATTATTTGCCTCCCTTTGATGTCCCGGAGTCATTACGAAAGCAATTACAGCAGTTTCTCTGTCTGTGTCTACGGGGTATTTATTATCTGTATCTGTCTGGACCCTTTGCCAGGTGGAAAATATATGGCATATTAAAGACGAGGGAATTCAACCCCAGTGATCAGCCTGGGAACAAGGGGAGGCAAAGGAATCGGGGTCTCGCAGATGATCCCGCCAGAAACACGGTAATTTAATATTAAACCCTGGCAATCTGGGGGGAGACTCGCAGGCTCTTTTTATTTATTTAAATTAAAAAACAAAAAATTCTCCAGGTTCACCAGCCTCAGGGAATCTAGGGCAAAATTAATTAAAGGCAATAGGGAAATGGAAAACAAGGAAACAAATGGAAAGAAAACCAAAAAACACAAAAACACCCAGGCCCAGCCGGCGTGGCTCAGCGGTTGAGCATCAACCTAGGACCCTGGAGGTCTCGGTTCGATTCCCGCTCAGGGCACAGGCCCGGGGTGCAGGCTCCTCGATCCCCAGCAGGGGGCGCGCAGGAGGCAGCCGGTCAGTGACTCTCATCATCGATGTTTCTCTCTCTCCCTCTCTCTGAAATCAATAAGGACATATTTAAAAAACAAAACAGGGCAGTACCAGAAAACATATCTTGCTCCTTAATTTTAAGTGAGTAGTATCCCTTTCGACCAACCCTTTTGTAACTAACTGGTGCAACTTGCAAGATGGGTATTTTTTCCCCCAGATCCAATTGCCCAGGGTGTTTTTCTAACAGAGTGACAGACACCAAGGGGGACTCAGTTTTGGGGTCACCTAAAGGATTTTCCCCACACTGTTGGGATCTGGCGTGGCTCAGATACGTGTGTATCAGCTGAGTCCCACTCCTATCAGAGATGTCCCTGGACTTCAGGGGACACCTCTGAGTGACAAGGGAGGTGTGGGTGCCATCAGCTACGTGGAGGAGTTTTCCCTTCAGGGCAGTGTCGGAGGACCAGCGTCTGTGCGATTTGGAAACATGCAGCAACCTCCCCCCGCCAAAAAAACCCCAAAAAACACGCCCTGCCCTTTCCCTCGGCAAGAAGTAGCCAGACATGCGTCCGGAGGCCCATTTACATAGATCATCGTCACGTCATTACTTCAGACATTGTAACAGTGGGATGGAGCTGAATCCGTAATGGGGGGCTGTGTTCCATTACGTAAAATTGATAACGCAAAGTACCGATAAGCCATTGAAAAGTCACTCGGGGGGGGGTATGTCTATAGAAGCCGAGAAAACGCACTAGAGGGAACCAGGATCCTAAAGGCGTGAGATACGAGAAACGAGGCTAGGACAGGACTGATATTGCCCTTTTACTGACTTGTTTCTTGTATTTTGTACATTTTTTTGAAAACCAAGGTGTGGACAGATTAAACATAAACCTTTCGCAGGATCCCTTAGTTTAGCAAAGTGTTTGTACGTGTGTCTTTCTCATCTGTTACTTGGGAAAACATATGCGGCAGATAAAGGAGAGAATCAGCCCGATTTTCCAGCAGAAAAAGGGAGAGGCCCAGGGACTTTAGCCGGAATCTCAAACCTGCTGGGTAACCACAGCCGACCTGCGCGGAAACCTGCAATTAGAAATAGTATCTGAGGATAGGAACCACGTGAGCTGATAGTCCATAAATTAATAAGAATGCACATCGGAAAGTGAACTAAGACAGTAAGAGGCTTGATTTTTTTTGGTACTTTAATTTCAAAACATCAAATTTCAGATCGCCTAAGTCCCGGGAAGATGTACAGTGCGCCCTTCTTTCCTCTGAGGGTTAAGATGTTAGGCTCCGGAGGTGGGAATGGGTTGTTAATATATCACATTTTTTTAGGAAAAATATATTTTGACATTTGTTAATTAAGCTTTTAAGGTTTAATGCATTGTGAAGATAGGCTATGTTTTCAGGACAGCCCGAGAGCTTCCCGAGCTTTAAAATGATCCAAAAGCTGGTTCCCACCTTCTACCTGATGTAGATGAAAGGGTATGTTAAGCTCATGCAAATATAAAGAAGCGGGGAAATGTGATGCGTCCCGTAATGAGAGACAGACATTGCCTATTTTCTTCTAAAATGTTGATTAATGCGGGTTCTAAAAGCCTTTCTGGTTTTACAAAGTTCATGCTATTTAATTCTGTGAGATTAAAATGATACCACCTCCTCGATTTGGTGGAGATGGGGCCCGAAGTCCCAATATTTAGCTGAGATCGCCTTTGGCACTTTTTCAATATTGAACAGACATGTCGGTTTCTAAATGGTCAAGGTTGACAGTATTTAAGAGGTTTCTCGTGTCTTTTCATTTTAGATTAATCACCGTCTCCCTGGAGAGCGCGCCTGGACTCGGGGCCATCACTCCGTGCGATGAAACGAACTGAGACAAAAGTGAGTATAAAACCCGTGGACTGGACATTATCGGATTACAGTAGAGGTGTTACCGGGACGAAAGCTTCCCAGAGTGTGTGCAAATGTAATTAAGGCGAGTGGCCTGGCGGGGAGGTGGGTGAAACACTGTTCGCTCAGCTCTGCAAAGACGCTGGGAAGCCTTTGCCTCGGCCCCTGCCCCGGAGGCAGGGAGATGGGAAGTGTGGGCTGCGCAGAGCAGGCCCCCTCCTTAGCCACACGACCTCCAGCCAGTGTCGCCTGCCTCCTAGCCTCGCTTTACTCGTCTGTAAAATGCAACAACACCGGCTACCCCTGGGCTTTGCACCCAACACACGGACACGGGCCGACACGAACCCAGCCCGGGCACTGTCTTCATGAAATGGAACCTGTGGGTCGGGTGCGTCTCTGAAACCCAGTCCTGTTTCTACAGCGGTTCCTGAGCCTCCCTTAGGTGGAGAAACTCCCCTCTGATCAGAGTCTGCCTCAGCCCTGGGTAAACTGAGTCTCAACAGCGTTGCCCCAGCGGGCAGGCTCGGTCCCCAGACTCGCGCCCGAATGTCTTCCCAGTCCCGTCCGCCCTTCCTCCTGAGCGCGCCAGGATCGCGCCACGCTTTCTTCCATTGCCGCCCTTATTTCTAATTTCAGAAACAAACAAACAAGAAAGTCCAACATTCACATGCGCCGTATTAAAATTATTTTATTCACAGAAGCTCGAGCTGAGCACACACACGCCTGGTCCCAAGCTAGGCCCCGGGGATCCAGAAATGCATGAGAAACAGTGTCTTTTCCTCCAGGAGCCTGGGAGAGAGACGGGGTGACAGCGGGGAGGAAACTAGGCTTAGCCTGGCATCGGAAAGCCAGTGGAGCTGGGGTGGGGTTGGCCCTGGTTACACGTCATGTGTAAAACGCCCCAGGTCTAGAATGTTCACACACCAACAGGCTGGTGAGGAGGGTCTTTCTGGGGACCAGGACGTGGGGTCCCCGGTAGAGCTCTCTTGCCATTTCCGTTTGAGGGCCAGGGGAGAGGGGAGACAGCTCAGAGGCCAGCGTCCTTGCAGGGTTTCTGATGGCCAATGGAAGAGCTTTGGGGTGGGGGCGCCCTGGCACTGACATTCCCGGCACAGGGACAGGACTGTGGGTGAAGGCGGCAAGGTGTTTCCCTCGCACCCCCTGCGCCAGCGAGCCCTGACCCTGTGGGGTCAGGTGCGGTCCTTCCTTCGAGTCTTCTAGCTCCTGCCTTGACTTGGGGTCCAATTTCCTCTGTGAGTAAAAGGGAAAGAGGACAGTGAGGGGTGGAAGGAAAACGTCCCGCTGTTGGAGGGGGAAAGGGTGAGTGGGATTGCAGAGCTTCCTAAACGTCTCGCCTCATGGGGCAGGTCGCAGAGGCTGGGTGAAGACACAGCTGGGTGCAGGGATGTTTGGCCAGGGCACTGCGGACTTTGCCCACCTGGGGCCCTAAGTGATCGGGAAGCTGTGTGGAGAGATGGTTTCCACCAAGAGGGACTTGTGTTCAGAGGCGGAAACAGACCCAGAAGCCAGGAGATAACCTCAAGCAAGGGGGACTGGGTGCAGGGCTGGAAAGAGGGACAGGTTCCTGCAGTGAGCCTCTGGCCGTGCCTGGTGACCTCACCCCAAAGTCTCCTTCCATTTCACAGGTCACCCCAGGAAAAGAGAGGCCCAAGGAGGCAGGGCAGCATTTGATAGTGAGAGGAGGGGATGTCCAAGGTTGGGGACAGGCCCCTTCCCTGTCCCTCCCACCTCCCCAGAGCTGGCATTCGGGTCGCCGGGCCCGGGGCTTTGCCACCTACCTTCCTTTGTCTTCAGGCACGCGGGGCCCCGGTGGTCTCCCGAGGCAGGGACATGTCATGGCTTCTGGTAGCTGAGGCTGGGAGGGTCTACGGGGGGAGGAGGGAGGGAAAGATGGGGTCATCGGGATGACCCCTCGGTATGGGGAACCCGCCTGGAGCCAGCGTCCCGTGGCCCAGCCTCAAGCGCTGAGACTCCACTCGCTGGGAAGGGCCTTTTGCCAGCCTGGGTAAGAGACACCTCAGGACCGGGACCCCACCCTCCATGCCCAGCTGGACACCTGGGGTGTGTTTTCAGGTGCTTCCCCCCCATCCCTTGCAGCCTGCTCAGGTGCCCTGGACGTGTTCCTTGGCCCTGACCATCCCCCTCTGCAACTTGAGCGCAGCCTGGGGTCTGAAGGGGTCCTGACCACTCACTATAGGGAGCAGAAGGATGCTGCTGGCTTGGAGCGTGATTCCTTACCTGGAGCCTGTCCTTCCTCTGGGAAAGGGATCTTACTGCTGGGACCTGAGACCTATGTATGGGACAGGGCGGCATCTAGGAGGGGGTATGTCTTAGCAAAGGCAGGAATTTGCTGAGATCCCTGAAATCTCAGCCAAGGCAGCTACTCATGTCCTCCCCCTCCCCCCTTCCCCGAGGCCCAGGGAACTTGGGCTCCTGCAGGGAGCCAGCCCCCCAGGAAGGCACACAAGTGGCTCCCTGGCTCCTCAGGGGCCGAGCGGCCTGCCCTGAGCAGGAGGCCCTGCTTGCAGAGCCCCTCACACGGGGGCCACATGAGAGAAGTGAACATTCTAGAGGCCAACTGCCCAAAGTCACGCAGAACCTGCCGGGTGCCCGGGTGCCTGGAAGCCCAACGGAAACAA